TTTCTGCCACTTTTGAGTGTATAATTCAGTGGCATTAAGTACGCTGTTGTACAGCCATCACCACTATTCATCCCCGGAACTTCTTGAAAACCAGACTCTGTACCCATTAAGCAGTGACTCACCATCCCCCTTCCTGGTTCTTAGGCTCTTGAAAGGAGACGGATGTCGGAGAGTTTGAGGTTGACATGTTCTAGAGGTTCTGGCAGGTTCTAGAGCTATGTCTGTTCTGTGGTGTGATAGGTGATCACTCACTTTAGACATTAGGTATCACAGCATACCATTTTGGGGTGAATACCCCCAAAGCCCTCCTCTGGTTTTGGCCAGTTGGAGAGAGCTGGGACAACAGTGGGGAAGAAGGCTGCCACCCTGTGGTGCCCACCTCCACCCCCCAGGCTTGCCTCAAGGACTTCAGCCAGTCCTTTGTGGAAGGCTTACATTTTCTGCCACCTGGTGTGGAAGAACGGATCTCCATCTGGAGGCTTTTTAGAGTAATTGGTACCAATAGACTTTTTCTAATGGTGTAATCACTTTAATATGGCTCTCTAAGATGGTGCTTCTAGATAGACCTTTTTTTGAAAAGCCTGCAAGAAAAACCTCATGCAAGTGTCCCTAATCGACAAATGAGTGAATCGACCTGTTCACCGGGAAAGTGTTTGGTTAATGTTTTCCACCCAAAGGCCACTGAGAGGCTATTTGTAGAACAATTTTGGTTTTGTCACCACGCTTTGACTGTTATCTCTCATAGTGATTAGACATGCTTTTATGTGCATTTCAAAGGAATTCTTTGGGTCTGAGACAAATAGAGATTATTGCTGTGGAGGAGACACTTCCTTTTTCATCTGCCATGATGGAACTTGTATCTAATATCTTTATTTATTTTTAAAAAGATTTTATTTATTTATTTGACACAGAGAGACACAGCAAGAGAGGGAACACAATCAAGGGTGAGTGGGAGAGGGAGAAGCAGGCTTCCTGCTGAGCAGGGAGCCCGATGTGGGGCTTGATCCCAAGACCCTGGGACCATGACCTGAGCCGAAGGCAGATGCTTAACGACTGAGCCACCCAGGTGCCCCTATCTAACACCTTTAAAAATGGAAGTTTATTTAAGCATGGACGGAAGGAAATCCTTTTGTCCTAACAGATCAAGTTTGGGAGATAGCTCATATATTTTCAAATATGTTAATATCACTGAAACAAACAACACACAAAAAGCGTGCTTTTTCTCTTGCTTTTGTATATATCCATTGGGTAGCCAGAAAATTATACTTTCATTTTATGAAAACTTGTCTGAAAAATCTGCATCCTTTTGAGCCATGGGATTGATTATCTGATTGAGAACTGTCCTGAGAAGAACCTTCTAGTAAGCCTGCATCAGAACTAAATTCAGCTCTGGAATGCCTCAAAGACAAGTTGTATTTAACCATAATTTATAATTAAAATTTACAAGAAATGTTTTATAAGCAAGCTCTTCATCAGTTTTTGATTTATAACACGTATATTAGGAAAAACGTCTAAAAGACTATTTTCCAAAACATTAGTTGTAGTTATACTTGGGTGCCGAACTTATGGGTTATGTTAGTTTTCTTAGATCCCTTTCCTTCTCCTTTTGTAAAAGCAACATGCATTACTTTTGTAATTAGAAATGTCTTATTTCCTAAAAAGGAAGTTTAAAAATTCTTATGCCTGTTTTGTCCTTACGTTCTGAAACCTTCTGTGTCACTGGCTTTGAGAGCACAGAGTTCTTTCATAGTTGTGTCTGTTTGTCAAGGAGCTCAGTGCACTGAAGCCCACTGCGGACTTGGGCGCAGTTGCAGGTGATAGAAGATTCTGGAATGCTCAGATCATTAATAACTAGTATTATCCGAATGCTCTAATGATTAGCTTAACTGTCTTGTCAGTCTTGATATGATTTATTCCACTTGTCCTCAGTCTTAAAACTTTTTTTTTTTTTT